TTACAGCCCAGACTGGCCTCAAATTTCAGACCCTCCTACCTCTGTTTTCTAAGGACCAGATGTGCAGGGCATGCCACACCAGGCTGGGTCATATCTCTTACGTTTTAAAGACCAGTTTATAGCATAACACAGTCTTTCATTGGCTTACAATGCTCTCACCTGGTCCTGGATAAAGTTCTGGAGACTCACTCCTCTATATCCAAAGGAGTCCACGCAAGCAAGGCTTTTCTGCAGTGTTCTGTCCATCACTGTTCTACCCAAATGCCCTCTAATTTGTCTACAAGGCCTAGCTGTACTCACCTGCCCCGAAGTCTTTTTATCCTTCCTGGAGCAGCGAACAGACTGTGTGCTTCTACAAATGCTCCACTTGACTGCTCTTTCATCGTTTCCCATCTTACTCTAACCATGACTCCCCAGTTCTAACCTACAAACTCAACAACATCCGGCTGAGTACATGCCACACAATTGGTGCGGGAGGTGTGGTAAAATTAACAGAGACCTGAGGGCTTCAGCTGTGAGGAATAGTAAGACGGCTGCCTTTACAGAGTGCACTCCTACTGTGATGGTGGATTGACATGTTCACGTTTGCTACCATCCCTAGAGCCGTAAGCAAAACCAGCCTCAGTTTCCCATCTTTCAGCAAAGAAGCCCCCCAGGCAACAATGTAGCAGCACCCACTTCCGTTCTTCCAGCGCTTAAGGCAAAAAGGAAAGGCTCAAAATCTGCAGAGTCGGTAGATATCAGAAAAACAAACAAAACAATCTCATCATCCGTTAGCAGGGAAACTCCTATTTTGTACATAACTATCTCTTAACAGAGTCTAAGGAAAAACAAAAAGCAGCTCAGAACAACTGGCTGAAGTGACTTGATGGGGGCTGCCTTCTCGAGTGTTCTCGGAGAGCTCCAGGCTCACTAAGTACATACATCCTGGTATACTCCTGGGGGCACACAACCTGACAGGAACCCCTCACTGAGATGCTGGAGCTTCTCTTGGGTTTCATCTTACATACACAATCGTCTTTATTTGTAAGGAGTCTGACACACCGATGTTCCCACAGCCATACTTGGGCTGACCTCACTCCAGTTCAACGCGGTGTGTGCGACTCTGCCAGACTCTGCCAGCTGCTGGTTTCAGCTGTTCTCTTCCTTTCCACAGCTCATAAACCAGTATTACAGGGCTCATTTTTTCCTGTCTAGTCATTCATTTTAGTTAACAAGTCCTTTACCCCTTAATTATACCTACAATTAAATCTAATGTAAGTCCTATTATAACTTAACATTCATCAAAAACCCATCTGTAATGTATAAACTTCCTTATCCACGTGAAATTCTGGATATTCGTCCACGTAAGACAATTTAGGACCGCCTGGGAAAACTTTCAAGGTCATATAATATTAACTCATTTTCAAAGAGGCCCAGAAGGCTGTGCTTATTCACCTGCATAGGGTAGAAACTTGTGCAAATGCCTTTGCTGTACGATGTTCTCTTTATTTCTACCAGCCCTTCCTCTTTCAACAATGCGGACAAACCAAGGCACCCTCAATAAGAAAGGGCCACATTCCCAAACAGACTTGGGGGAAAATAAGTGCTCTTAACTGCTGAGCCATCTCTCCAGCCCTTCTTTCTAGATTCTTAATACTTAGCTATCATCACATTGGCCATGAAGTTTTGGCACCTGAATTCTGAAGGTGCAAACTCAGATCATAGCACTCCAAAGTCAAGGCTCTATTACAGCCTTATTTTATATGTTATTTTTAAATTTTTATTTTATTCTCTTTTTTAAATTTTAATTTATGTGTATCGGTGTTTTGCCTGCATGTATGTTTGAGCACCACTTTGCAAGCCTGGCACCTGCAGTGGTCAAAAAAGGGTATCAGAACCCTGGGAACTGGAGTTACAGAGGGTTGTGAACCACCATGTGGGTGCTGAAAATTGAACCCAGGTCCTCTGAAAGAGCAACAAGTGCTCTTAAGCCCCGAGCCATCTCTCCGGTCCCTTAAAAGTATTTTTCACAAAAAGGCTAGTGAGTTGTTTATAAACAAATGTTGTGTCTAAATGTGTTTCATGTAAGTAGCTTAGATTCATATTTCCAACACTAGTCTCCCTTAGCATTAAATTAATCTCCCTCTTCACTTGGTAAAACAGTGGGCGTTCATGTAATGTAAGAAACACAGAAAACTGATTCTCTTCCATGACACTGCCACTCCAGTCTGGAGAAGGCAGCCTTCTCGATGAAAAACTGCCACCTGATTTTGAGTGTAGGTACGAGTGCACGTGACACTCCAACATGACTTAAACAACACATTTTAAACTGTGGGCCTGCATATAATCAAGGGAAACCATACTTCAAAGGTTTCCAATATTAGTATTTTTTAATTAGAATTCTCATTGAAAAATTCATGCAACTGATTCAAAACATTTCCAAACCTTATTTCCTAGCTTAAGTGCTTAAACAGTTTAGAAGAAAAAAAGTCAGCTGCTGACTATTAAATGAGGAAAGGGGGAAAATTCACTTTTACAAGTTAGAAAAAAAATTCATACTCCTTATTTTACACATGAGAATACAGTCCATCCACAAAGGTTAAGTAATTTGCAGAAGGACACTAAAGCTACTAGGAACACCAGAAATAGAATAAGGTATTTTAATTACATTCTTATCCCTGTCATTTAAGTATTAAATATAATTAGCAACTCTTAATTAATTTCTGAGGAAGGACTCCTGTGACACGTGTCCTACATTTTCAAAGTTGTATAAGCTAATAAACTTCAAATTTTAACTGCCAGAACAAAAAAGGGACTCCTCCAGAACGTTAAGGTGTGTGCTCCTAATAAACCATCACAATGAATTTCAAAATCCATCATTCCAAACCTGGTCCCCCAACTACGTATTTATCAGTTAATTCGACCACAGGAAGAATTCAGAGACAGCGTGGACAACACACTAAAGAAATGAATAGATCACCACTCCTATAACACGGGTTTCCAGCTTAAATAAAGAAAAGCTCCCGTCATTTTATTAAGCTGCAGTGTTTAGATTGAAAAGTTTGGAAAATGCACTCTTGGCTGGCTTCTGTTGAAGACGTAAATCTGACACGGCTGACACGAGCCAAAGGTCTGAGCTTAAAAGGGCAGGGCAGAAAAAGTGACCAAGTTCCTCCAACCAAAAGCTCTCGCTCTCTCTCCAGCAACCACACTGTGGAGACCGCAACAGTGAGACACTGAGATTTGCGTTTTAACGCCCAGTAAACTAACGCTGTGCATTTAGCTTCCGATGTTCAAGGATAAAACACAGGGCAGTGCGGGCAACAACTTCCGAGGGATCAGTTTCAAGGACTGTCGCCTAACTACTCATGACAATCGTCCCTTTGTGCAACTGATTGTTTCTACAAAGTACTGGAAGAATGTGGGCAGCTCTTCTCTTTGATACCGGTCAACCAAACCTAAGATGGCAAGATTTTGGTAACCTATACAGCGATATGATCAATTAAGAGGTACAGGGTAGGCTAGTGCACTGTCTCCATACAGATCATTAATAAGACTATATATAACTGAGTTACAAACAACATTACACGCTCTAATTAGGACCTCTGGTGTCGCTCTACAATAATACAAATAAAATCTCTATATTTTAAAGTAGTGCCCGTTTAACAAGGGGTAGAATTTAAAAACAGTCGCCACCACCGCTCAACTCACACACGTATCAACAGATTTAAAGCTGTGATAAGCACAAAATCCTTACCCCATTTTGCCCAATGAGAACTTGCTCTGAAGTTTCTGCTCCTAGGCTACAGAAATAACTTCCAAGGAATTGTCTCCGTCTGTTATTTCGTAGGTTGCTTTTTCCACCCCCGAGATCTTTTCCGGAGGTAATTCAACGACGCTGACAATTCAGTTAGTTCTTGTCGGTAAAAGGATTTCACTCGCGCTGATACCAAAGCGTTCAAACATTGGCTTGTTTGAGAATTGAAAAAGGTTGCGCGGAGAATGGAGCACTCAAACTATTCCACAAAATCAGGTGTACATGTAGGAAAAACGCAAAACCCAGCTTCACCGAGTCTTATAAAAAACGAGTTCGCTGGTCATTTCGCTCCCGTCCCCTCGACACTCCAGGGAGCCAGGTAACTCGGCCTTCTCTGGGCTGAAGGCGGTGGGTTCAAATTTCACCACACCAGGTCCCTAGGGGTGGAGCGTGCAACCCAACGCGACGTGCACTTTAATTAAAAAAAAAAAAATCCTTACGGGCAGCAATGCCACTGTCTCCCTTCGCTTACATTAAAAAAAAAAACAAACAAAATCTATAGAAAAAAAATCTCCAAGTGCAAAGCCCGGCCGCTCGCGATGTGCACGGCACACCACATTGGAATCTGTCCTCTGAAATGTTCGTCCTCCTAAGACTCGGAGCGGAGAGGAGGTGGAGGAGAGCAGGCGGAGAAGGCTGGGGAGGATCGATTCGTTCTCTCGAGGAGCAGCAGCGGAGCCATTTCCAGGCTGGCGGCTTAGCTGGGGGCGCAGCGGCCGCCGGGGAGCAGCGCGGGGGGCCCAAGCCCACCTCCCTCGGCTTCCCGGCCCCCGCCGAGCACAATGGAGCCCCCGGCTCGCGGCCGCCCCCTCTTCCCGCCTCTCCTCGCAGCACCGGCGGCCTGGGGCTCCAAGACGGCGGAGAATGAATGAATCAGAG